CATAATGACCACTTAGGAGGGGGAGATTACCACTAAGTGGGTAGGGGGGAGGAGGGGAATGTCTAAGGGGAGGGATGGAGGACCACTAAGGGGGGACTACAGGGGGCCAAGGGAGAGCACTAAGGGACAGGAGGGAAAGGGAAATCAATAATTGACAGGAGGGTGAGCACTATGCAAAAAATGAAAAAAATGCTCCCCTCTCAGTCCCTATCCTACCCCACAAACCCTCTCTTTTACACTACACACATACACAATGCATCCCCCCCCCCACACACACAGAAACATACAATGCATTCCTACTCACACACCCGAAACACACAATGCATCCCTTACGTTCATACAAACTCATTCTCTTACACACAGAAACAAAATGCATCTCTTACACAATCAATACACCCCTTACAGACACACACTGCATTCAATTAAATACACAGAAACACACCTTGCACACCTTACACACACACACCCAGAAACATACAATGCATTCCTTACACGCAAACACACACTGCATCCCCTATAAACACACTACATCCCTTACAGAAATTGGTATCCCTATACACTACATTCTATAAGAACACACACGTTGCATCCTCTACAATAACACATAAAACATCCCCTCCACACATACACTCCACTTCCTGTGAGAGAACTCACGGGCAGGGCCGGCGCGTCCATAAGGCGGCACAGGCGGCCGCCTTAGGGCGCACCGGCCCGGGGGCGCAAATGTCCGGGTGGCCCGCAGGAGGGAAGCGCACCGCTCCCCTCTCCTGCCGGTCACTTTTTGTAGCGTGGCCGAGCGCCACCCTGCAGTGCCGCGGACTGTGTGGAGGGGGCGGGGATATGAACGTCATATCCCTGCTCCCTCTGTAGCACACAGCGCGGCTGGTGCCCAGCAGGGGCGGAGCTACCACCGGTCCCCTTTTTGTCAGCATGGGAGGAAGTCCTCCCAAGAAGACAAGAGCAGCAGAAGGCAGAGAGGAGGGGGGCTGGGCAGGACCAGCTCCTCCAACTCCCAACTACCTCAGGCAGCACTTTGGATCCCAGGTAAGCCCCCCTTCTGAACCTGTTGGTCAGTGTGTCTGTGTGTATCTATGTCTGTCACTGTGTGTATCTATGTCTGTCAGTGTGTGTGTATATGTCTGTCAGTGTGTGTGTGTGTATCTATGTCTGTCAGTGTGTGTGTGTGTATGTCTGTCAGTGTGTGTGTGTATGTATATGTCTCTGTCCGTGTGTCTGTGTGTATCTAAATGTCTGTTAGTGTGTGTGTCTGTCTGTTAGTGTGTCTTTGTGTGTCTTCTTCCCTATCATTGTGTATGTGTGTCTGTATGTCACTGTGTGTTTATCTGTATGTCTGTCAGTGTTTGTGTGTATCTGTGTGTCTATCTGAATGTGTATCAGTTTGTGTATATGTATATCTGCATGTGTCAGTGTGTGTATCTTTGTGTATGTGTATCACAGTGTGTGCGTGTGTGGCAGTGTATGTGTATATGTGCATATATCTCAGCATTCAAACACCAACACTACACACAAATAAACACCTGCATGCAAACATCAACACTACATACAAACACACCCCTGCATTCAAATGTCAACACTACATACAAACACACCTCTGTATCGGACACCAAAATTATATATAAACACACACCTGCGTTCAAAAACCAACACTACACATAAATGCATGCTTGCATTCAAATGCAAACACTACATACAAACACACCGCTACAATCATACAAACATACTCCATACAAACACATGCTTACAGTCAAACACACAAATACTGCTCCATGCTAAATACAATCCTGCAAGCATGGGGAATCGGTAGAGCCCCAGCTTTCAAAGCATTGTTGAAGTTGCACGACAGATGGGGATCTATCTTTTAGCCATCCTGTGTACATACACAGACCGTCATACAGAGACATACAGTATGTATGTCTCTGTATGACTGTGTGAATGTATTCAAAAGGAATAAACGCAGGCAACACTCCAATAGTAAGGATGGTATATTTATTGATAGGTGAACCACCCCAAAGAAAGTGCGTCGTTTCGGCTCAGCAGAGCCTTATTGCATGAGCTGAAACATCACACTTTCTATGGGGTGGTTCACCTACCAATAAATATACCATCCTTACTATTGGAGTGTTGCCTGCGTTTATTCCTTTTGAAGACTTTACTGGTGGATCCAGCAATGTCTGCCTGACATGGAGCATCCACCTCTGTTGATGGCCAGAGCATTTACACGGTATCAGTGTGCAGGGTTCTTTGTTTGTCTGTGTATGTATGTCTCTGTATGCCTATCTCTGTTTCTTTATGTCTGTGTATGTATTTCTGTGAGTGCCTGTGTCTGTATGAATGTATGTCTGTGTTTGTACGACAATGTACCTGTATGTGTAGATTGTATGACTGTGTTTGTTTGTGTGCCTTTTATGACTGTGTGTCTGTATATCTTTGTGACTGTGTGCCTGAAAAATTATGTCTGTGTGCTTGTATGGTTGTGTGTCTGTATGTTTGTGTATTTGTGCATGTATGTATTTTTGCCTGTATCTATGTCTATGTGGGAGAAAAAGAGAGATAGATAGGGGCTGGCGGGGAAGTAAGAAATACATAAGAGGGGTTGTAGGAGACACACTAAAGGGGGGTGTAAGGCACAAAGGGGCCAAAGGGGTAAGACATTCAAGAGAGTGGATATGCAACACTAATGGGGGTAAGAAATTCAAAAGGGGGCTACGAGACACAGAGGTGAAGATGCATTGTTTATTTTTTTGGGGGGGGAGGGGGCGTCAAAATGCATCTTCGCCTGTGTAGTCAAAAATCCTAGCACCGGCCCTGCTCACGGGTGGGCCATGTAGGTGGATTTATGGGTGGGCATTGTAGGCATACTCACGGTCAAGCCCTGGGGGCCCAGACCTTGAGCTGTGTAAGGGGCCCTAAAAAATGGAGCTGCTCCTGTTCGTTAATTGTTGTGAGCACTGTTAAAAACAGTCTCCAGAGAGCCTCTTCTACACAGACCTGTGGAGCCAGACAGAGCCCATCATCATCTTCTTGTCCTCATCTGGTGGGAAGTAGGCAATCCAATATATTATTAGTGGCACTAATCTCTAATTTACCTCACATTAAATGGATACTATAGTCATCAGAAGCACTACAGCATAATGTAGTGGTTCTGGTGTCTATAGCCTGTGCCTGTAGGCTTTTTAATGTAAACACACTGTCTTTTCAGATAAAAGACACTTTGTGAAGACTGGCGTTGGCCCATATGGCAGAGCATATGGGCGGGGCATTGTGATGTCACATGGTGGGCAGGACATATGGGGGAGGGGGAGCAGCAAAATCTTTTTTGCCTAGGACGGCAAAAATCCTTGCACCGGCCCTGGGTCCGGTTTACGTTCTATCCTTTTATTTCCTTTCTTATTTCTTTGTATAGGTTTACATAGTTTCTGCGTGTTGGACCACACTAGCAGCCATGACAGTCCCATTGATTCAACATGTAGGACATTCTAGCGGTAGCACAGATAGCATTGGCACCTTGAGGTATGGGAGGCCCAAGTGAGGTATGGGCGATCTGACCTCTGAAACTCTAAAATAATAGTAAAACCCAACGATATTGGAATACATGGGAGTAGTGGTGAACTTAATTGTTCCTGGGTATGTGATGTACCAAAACAATATATTTTGTACTTGAGACAGCTGATTTTAAGTGTGCTTTTTTGTGATTGCTCTGTTACCTTGTTGCGCAAATAGGTTTCCACATTGTGTGCCTTTTCTATTTTTGCTCTTTTATCCTCTTCTCTCTCATTTCTTCTTCCACAATTCATTGTTTCTCCATTTTCTTCTACTCTTCCCCTGAGTTGTTTTTTTCGTCATCTTCTTCACCTTTCAACCACCCTCCTGCCTTATCCCTCATGTTATCACCAGATGATGCTCATTCATACGATCGACACGGAAATAGTGTACATGTTTATTTAAAAAAAAATAATATATATATATATTTTTTTTTTATCCAGGCTATTGTCTTATAATGTCTGTACTACTATATCTTTATATAGTACTGCACTACTATATCGTTAATAAAAATTTCTTACAATAAAACATTGCGCCTCGAACACATATATATGAATATGTAACAATGTAATTTAAGCAAGGCCCTTGTTAGTCATTTTTTTTATTTACCTTAATGTTTTTGTTTGTGTGCTTTGTTCTGTTTACTGACGTTACAGCACTGCACAATATGTTGGCGCTCTAGAAATAATGGTCTTTGTTTTCTTATTCTGCTATTCTAAGGGGAAAATCATGTTTCTAACGCAAAATAACAGCTGTTCTCATTAACTGCTAGTTATTAACCTCAGGTCACATCAATTGACATGCTTGCTGAACTTAATTTACTGCGCTAGTACCAACTAGGCGGGAAGCGTCTGATTTATAGGGGAGGTTTTTGTTAAGCATTATTGATCATGCATATCAAATACCCGCTATGTATGTCTTCTGAGGACTGAGTGCAAATTTGTATATTTATTAGATTATCTTATTTACAAACCACAGACCCTTCGTGCAGCTCTGTACGTTTCTGCTTCATCCGCAAACAAATAAAAATGAAATAAATAAAAATAAATAGGCAGCATTTATGGAACTCGATGTAAACAGGAGGTGTCACTTCTCTAGAAATTAAACCACTGAAAATCTCCTATAACGTATGCTAACATTTCTTATATGTGATGGGTGTGATACTCTGTTATTTTTCCAACATATAGTCAAGATTAAGCAAGTGGCCATCCAGTTCAGGCTTGGCACAGCCGGGCACACGTTGCATTCGAGGAGAAATCCTTTCTCCATTCTCTCTATGCTGACTGACAGGTGCAATTATCAGAGCTCATAGTAATGATTGACAAGAAGCCAAGACATTGGCATTCAGTTTCAGGATAGAGAAGGGCGGATTTCTACATTGATGTTTTATTTTTCAGACCTTACAATCACATGTTTATTAAACATTTAAAAATCCTGGCAATGCGATCCCCTTTAAGACAGTGTGGATTTTAAAATTCAGGAAGCTGTTTTATTGTCTCCGGATTGAAACATGTTCTGCAAGAGGCTCCACAGCTCTGGAGCTTAACTTCCCAGGCTAATTCTCCAAAACTGAATTGTTAGAAATTTTAAGTAAAATGGCCAAACTGATAACATTGCTCTGCCTGATTGACAGTCACTAGAGGCAGTCCTGTAAGTTCTCAAAAACTGGCATGATTTACATTGCAGGACTAAGTGGTAATGGGGCACTGCACCCAGACCACTTTAACAAGTGGCCCTGGGTGACTACAATGTTGCTTTAAAGGACCACTATAGGCACCCATACCACTTCAGCTTAATGAAGTGGTCTGGGTGCCAGGTCCAGCTACGTTTAACCATTTTTTCTATAAACATGCTATGTTTATAAATGGGTTAATCCAGTCTCTAGCGGCTGTCTCATTGACAGCCTCTAGAGGCGCTTCCGCGCTTCTCACTGTGATTTTCACAGTGAGAAGATGCCAGCGTCCATAGGAAAGCATTATGAATGCTTTCCTATGGACTGGCTGAATGCGCGCGCAGCTCCTGCCGCGCATGCGCATTCAGCCGAAGAGGTGAAGAGAAGGAGGAGAGCTCCCCGTCCGACGCTGGAGAAAGAGGTGAGTTTAACCCTTTCCTCCCCCCCAAAGCCCGGCGGGAGGGGGTCCCTGAGGGTGGGAGCACCCTCAGGGCACTAGAGTGCCAGGAAAACGAGTATGCTTTCCTGGCACTATAGTGGTCCTTTAACCGCGGCACCCTTGTGAGCACAGTGACACTAATGAAGAAATAGAGAAATTGACTGTTAAAACCTGCTGTTTAGAGAGTGAGGGCTTGAAAATATACATTGAGAAGGCATCAATGTGAAGGAAGTTTTAACGCCAGAAAATGGGTGACAGAGGGTGCGAAGCTCGTTTTGGCAGCACTGCCTCTCCAGTCTCCACACTGTACGGAATACATGTTTTCAAGAATGTAGTTGTTTGTAAGTAATACAGAAATGGACACAATGTGTCATTGTAAAAAGGTAAGTGGCGTTATAAGATTTTCAATGATATTCGCTGGAGGTTGGCAGGAAAGAATAGAGCCACTCAGCCAATGTAAACCGATCCAGAACGCTCTGCTCTGCTTGGCACCTGCGATTCCTCACTAATTAGCATTTCGCTGCCTGTTTTACTATGCATTGTGTGTTTGCTAAAGGTGGAAAGAAAATCACAAACACGGTCATTCATCTTGTAGCTGTTTACAATACAATCGCTGCTTGAAGTGAATTTCCATAGAGCAGAAAGAGCCAGCAGACAGCAGAAACACATCTCGGAGAGCGTGGACCCCAGCTAGCTGGTGTAACGAGCGTGCCAAGGAGTTTCATTCATGGCGAGTGTGTGACTGAGGGTCCCTGAGGAGTGGATTTGCAAGGTAGTATGCCTCTTCATTATATTCTGTTGACATTCTTTATTTTTGATGTGCAGTTTCAAATTCACCAGTTGGCAACGACATGTGATAGTTAAGAGGCGGCATGCAAATAGAACACAAAATGTCAATGTAAACGGCGCATTTTTAAAAAGTAACCATCTCTGTGACAAACCAAGGCTGACTTATTAAACTGCAGAACCTGTATAATCCTTAGATAATGTTAGTAAGCTGAAGGCACATATTTGCAGTGTTAAAACGTAAGAACTGAGATGTGTGGTATAGAAAGTATTGCTGTGGAATATCAGCCTGACTCAGACAAACTTTGAGGAGCAAGAGAGGGTGAACAATATTAAGCTGAAGTATCTAAGACAGGGAGCACATAACCACCAAGGACATCTATGTACATTTAAGCAGGTGACAGCTAGAGTTAGACGTATTCTTTGAAATCAGCAAAAACTAACTTCTGTACAACTTAAATCAAAGAAAGAGGCACAAGTAAAGAAAAAGGTATATTTGGCCCTTGTAGTTGTTGCTACTGGGACACATGGCAGCCTGGTGTAGATATGTCCCCACATGTATTCAGCCAGTTCCTTGGCATGGACACAGTACTGGGTAGCTCTCCTGAAGATAATTTGCAGGTTACTGATATTTGCAGCAAGTTGGTGTCAAAAGTCTTCCCAGTCCATGCAGGGAGAGGTGAGTATGGCCGCCTTTGCTCCCCATCAGTAAGGCAGGGCAAAGAAAATATGTAAAGTAAATGTAACTTTTAGTCAGCACCTCTGAACCTTCATTCTCCGAGCCCAGGCTTTAGTGGAGCAGCCTCCTCTGGACCAACAGACCCTCCATTTCAGGTGGCTTGTCTATAGTCCCAAGAGACCTACGTCTCACACAGTGGCCTCCAAGGTCAGGATCGGCATCCATTTTGGCTCCCGGCCCAGAAGGAGAGGTGTGTTCCAAGGCACCATCCAGGCTTCAGTGCACATGTATGGATGCGCTGTCAAAATGCCACGCAGATTGCATCAAGTTTTGCTTGAAATGCCTTGGCCCACTCCTGCTCCGTCCTCACCGTGTCCATTTTGGGGACACCTCTAGGGTTTGCCACTATAGATTTCAGACGTCGGTATAACAAATACATTTTCCCCAGTGTGGACCGAGATAACCCCCGCTGGCCCCAAAGGGGGGGGGGGGGAAGGGGCTCTAAGTATAGCCTGTGAGGGCTCTGTCAGCTCCTCGCCGTGCAGGCCTCAATCTGTAGTTTAGCAGCGGGAGCAAGAAATCAACTCCCAAAAGTGGGTTTCACAAGGTCCCACTCTGTGCTGGGTAGAGTAATTGCCGTTTGGATTTGATTCAAGGCTAAATCACGATAAACAGTGAATTATTGTGGAGCTCTCCCCAGACACATCTGTCCACCATGAAGGTCAGGCCCCACCCCCCCATGCTTCTTCATTGTTTAATGGAGAGTTAAAATGTTTGATGCAAGTATTTGCAGCAGTAGGTGCTTCTGGTTTGTCATTGCATTCCATAGGAATCCTCTATTCTCTGAGGTTACAGAGAAGGAACAAAATAAACAGAGAAACATAGAAACATAGAATGTGACGGCAGATAAGAACCATTCGGCCCATTTAGTCTGCCCAATTTTCTAAATACTTTCATTAGTCCCTAGTCTTATCTTATAGTTAGGATAGCCTTATGCCTATCCCACGCATGCTTAAACTCCTTTACTGTGTTAACCTCTACCACTTAAACCTTTGTCCCTCTAATTTAAGACTATGTCCTCTTGTTGTGGTAGTTTTTCTTCTTTTAAATATAGTCTCCTCCTTTACTGTGTTGATTCCCTTTATATATTTAAATGTTTGTCATATCCCCCCTGTCTCGTCTTTCTTCCAAGCTATACATGTTAAGATCCTTTAACCTTTCCTAGTAAGTTTTATCCTGCAATCCATGAACCAGTTTAGTAGCCCTTCTCTGAACCCTCTCTAAGGTATCAATATCCTTCTGAAGATACGGTCTCCAGTACTGTGTACAATACTCCAAGTGAGGTCTCACCAGTGTTCTGTACAATGGCATGAGCACTTCCCTCTTTCTACTGCTAATACCTCTCCCTATACAACCAAGCATTCTGCTAGCATTTCCTGCTGCTCTATTACATTGTCTGCCTACCTTTAAGTCATCAGAAATAATCACCCCTAAATCCCTTTCCTCAATTGTTGAGGTTAGGACTCTATCAAATATTCTGTACTCTGCCCTTGGGTTTTTACGTCCAAGATGCATTATCTTGCACTTATCCACATTAAATGTCAGTTGCCACAATTCTGACCATTTTTCTAGTTTACCTAAATCATTTGTCATTTGGCTTATCCCTCCTGGAACATCAACCCTGTTACATATCTTATTATCATCAGCAAAAACACATACCTTACCATCAAGACCAAAAGCAGTTGAATTCTGATCCAGCGACCCAGCAGTCTCTGTTCCAGCTGTCTCTAAATGCAGGCTGCCATCTTATTTCTGGGATATATATCTGTTTCTTGGTATTGTTAGTCACGCTTTTTCTTTGCCCCCTCTGGTTTCCAGGTACCTTGTGCTCCTTTACCCGTAAAAGTACAGAGATGGGGAACTTTAAAATAATTCAGGCAGCAGATTATTACATGCTTGGTGGCTAGACAACACTACAGACAATCTCACTGACAAACTCACTACAAACAATCTCACTGACACACACACATGCTCACTACAAACAATCTCACTGACACACACACTCACTACAAACAGTGTCACTGACACACACATGCTCACTGACACACACACACTATATTTATATGTTTTGGGAAAAGTTGGAATTCGGCCATAATCGATACAATTATTGATCTCTTTGAATGTGAGGCATTCTTTGTACAGATTTAACCATAGCACATGTAATAATTTGTCTTTCATTGTGCTGCACATTAGAATAGACTCAGTAATGAGTTTTCAATCTGTCCAGAGATTAGCGCTTTTAACCTTTAACAATAGATTTATGTTTGCGTAACTGTCATTAACAAAATCGTAAGTGGTCATAGCAACAAGTCGTACCTGGGTTAATGGTGAATTTCACAGTTGGATGAAAACAATGGAGATTATCCACTGGACAACAAACAGCAACAATCTGAAAGCAGAATTGAAAAATACATGCAAAAAAAGCAGATTAATCGTGTATAAATCTTCCCACTCAGCTACAGCTACAGTTAATGTTGTAAAAATCCTGCCACTCAGCTACAGTCACAGCTAATTCTGTAAAAATCCTTCTACTCAGCCACAGTTTTTGCAAAATAAACTTCCACTCAGCTATAGTTACAGTTCATCTAATTCCTCTTAAACTCAGATTTCTTAATATCTGTCCTGCAAAGTCTCATGCAAACGCTGCCAGTGTCACATTACTGCACTGTTTTATTTTATTCGTTTTCGTATTCTTGGCCTTCACAACCATTACTGTCGTTGATGTCAGGACTAGATCAGAAAATTACAGATTTTTGTCCAATATATTCAAACTGGAAGACTCCACGATTGCAGCTATTTTTGAGTTTGATCACCTGGTCCTTAACGAAAAACTATGATCTCTTTTTATTATCACTGGAAATAAAAGATTACATGTAATATAACCTCGTCGAGTATTGTGTAACGCATACCTATAAGTTTAACCCCTTAAGGACACATGACATGTGTGACATGTCATGATTCCCTTTTATTCCAGAATTTTGGTCCTTAAGGGGTTAAGGGTTATTCACCACCATGACCACTTCTGCTTTTAGAAATGGTCATAGTGCAAG